TGGCCAGCTGGTGTGGCGGCATGCTGAAGTGAGAAGAATTGTGCCCCAACATTGGTGTCATTTAGAAGAATTATGCCCCATCATTGGTGTGATTGGGAGGAATTGTGCCCCATTGTTGGTGTTATTGGGAGTAACTGTGCCCCATTGTTAGCTTAATTGGGAGAAATTGTGCTCCATCATTGGTGTCATTGGGAAGACTTGTGCCCCATTGTTGGTGTCATTGGGAGGAATTCTACCCTATCATTGGTGTCAGTGGAAGAAATAGGGCACCATCATTGGTGTCGGTGAGAGGAATAGTACCCTACTGTTGTTGTAAGTGGGGGGAGATAAGGCCTGTTGTTTGTGTCAGTGGAAGGTTGTAGTACATCTCAGCAAATGCGCTTTGTTGGGCAATATCTTGCTATTCTGCACCTTGCAGACGGTAAGTTCTAGAAGATAAATGTCTACTTCTAACAGCCTCAGTACTGTATATATACATTCACAACTCTATTAGCTCTGTAAATCTAAACTGATAAAAATGCTGGGTCAGATACAAGAATTCTGAATGTTTGAAGCTCACTTAGCTCCAGTCACTTCACATAGTAGAAGTTAATTAGGATCTTTCTTTATTTAGTAAAGAATCAATTCTAATGTGTATGTGGGGCAGCAAGCACATTGGATTTAGACCCTAATTGGTTTGCTGGACTGATCATGAGTGAAACAGATAAATGTCACAACAGTTGTTGATGTATTGATCCAAGGTTAAATAAGGATAATGTTAGAACATTTATTAGCACAATCCAATGGATTTTGTGACAGAACCCCAACTGCTTCTAATGTATACAGCACTATTGTGAGATTGATGCTATCAAGCTATTGTCCATTCAAAAACTTATAATTTATTCATGGCAGAAAAAATTGCAATACATGGAAGATATTATACTGCACAGTGCTCAATGCCCACATAGACATACAAACAAAATTATAAAAACAATGTCAATATAAAGACATCTGGATGTAATATACAATATATGTATACATCCCCTACAGGATACTCATCATGTGAATTCCCATATATGACTAACAATGGTTCAGTACAGATGGCACTGCAGGATATATATACACACATGCCCCAGGGCCCAGTGGCAATAGATGGTTCCAACAATGATGGCACTCTATGGAGGGAGATTTCGGAACTGGCTAAAAACTCACAGATTTATACTGTATAGCCTTCGCTGTATCAAATGGGCAATTATTTATCAAATTGGATTGGTACTACCAGATGTACTTTGGATGTATTATACGACAATCACTGTCTTACCAGTCATCTCTGTAAGGAATTCCCCCTTTCCTGGAATGCCATATTTCCCCACAATCTCTTCATCCCTTCCAATCTTTATTTTTGGATCATTGCCGGTGACCTTGGAATTGTCCCTATTATCCCCTGTGATTTTCATCACACAGGGAGAGATCTCCCTCCATAGAGTGCCATCATTATTGGAACCATCTATTGCCAATGGGCTCTGGGGCATGTGTGTATATATATTTTGTTTAACTTAGATAAAATGTAATTGATAAACACAACTATATGTTTAATCAAAAACATAAAACATAAACATTAAACATAAAATAACAAAAAGCAATATTTTGTAATTTGAAAACCTGCCTTCCAAATTAAGATTGAAAGGCTAATTTGGTAACATCAGCCCCCACAATACGCACTGATAGCATCATAATTAACAATCTGCCAGCGCAGATATCTATATAACTAATGAGCAGCTTTAAACAATTTTCAGTAGCTAAGATAACTTTTAATTTGTTTTCTGTTTTTGAATGTAATTTTGAGGTTGGGATTAGACACGTATATAAAAGCGGTAATAGCAGGTAGCTCCGCACTAAAAATTTAGTTTATCTTTAACCAGCAAGCAGCTTTAAACAAGTTCAGTAGCTGTCCCCTGACAATACAATTAGAGATGAGCGAATTTTTCAAAAATTCGATTCGCCTGATTAGCCGAATTTTCCGAAAAAATTCGATTCGATTCGAATTTATTCGCTGCAAATTTTACTTATAAAAAGGGTTTCTAGGCTTCAGAGAGAACTTTATATTAGTGCAGAACACTGTACCTTTAATTTAAATGTCCTTGGAGTCTGCTGGGGAAGAGAAATAATACTGTCAGTCAGTATGACATGCAGATGAGTGCCGTCGATCTTAGAATCACCGCACACTTCACTCATTTGGGCAGTCACGGGGCCAAAGAAGAAGAAGGAGAAGAAGAAGAAGAAGAAGAATGAAAAGAATGAAAAGAAGAAGAATGAAAAGAAGAATGAAAAGAAGAATGAAAATAAGAAGAAGAATGAAAAGAAGAATGAAAAGAATGAAAAGAAGAATGAAAATAAGAAGAAGAATGAAAAGAAGAATGAAAAGAAGAAGAAGAATGAAAAGAAGAATGAAAAGAATGAAAAGAAGAAGAAGAATGAAAAGAAGAATGAAAAGAATGAAAAGAAGAAGAAGAATGAAAAGAATGAAAAGAAGAATGAAAATAAGAAGAATGAAAAGAAGAATGAAAAGAATGAAAAGAAGAATGAAAAGAATGAAAAGAAGAATGAAAATAAGAAGAATGAAAAGAAGAATGAAAATAAGAAGAAGAATGAAAAGAAGAATGAAAAGAAGAATGAAAAGAATGAAAAGAAGAATGAAAATAAGAAGAATGAAAAGAATGAAAAGAAGAATGAAAAGAAGAAGAAGAATGAAAAGAAGAATGAAAAGAATGAAAAGAAGAATGAAAATAAGAAGAAGAATGAAAAGAAGAATGAAAATAAGAAGAAGAATGAAAATAAGAAGAAGAATGAAAATAAGAAGAAGAATGAAAAGAATGAAAAGAAGAATGAAAAGAATGACAAGAACAATGAAAAGAAGAATGAAAATAAGAAGAAGAATGAAAAGAAGAATGAAAAGAATGAAAAGAAGAATGAAAATAAGAATAATTCCAGTAAAGCAAAAAGTGTTTCTGCAGAGTTCCTCTATTTCTGACAGTTCTCTGACAGTTCTTTCACATTTACAGCGATTGAAACATTGTATCTATTTGTTTCCTAATAAAAACATCTGTATCCTAAATGGAAACAAATAGATACAATGTTTCAACCGCTGTAAATGTGAAAGAACTGTCAGACAGCTGTCAGAAATAGCGGAGCTCTCTGCAGGGACATTTTTGCCGGCTGTAGAAGGGATGAAAACGGCCGATCAGGAAAAATTTGATTCGACCATCCGAAGTGGCAAAAATTCGGATTCGATGCGAATCGATTTTTTCCTGAAATTCGAAACGAATTCCACTTCGCCTGATTCGATTCGCTCATCTCTAAATACAATATAGTGTACAATGTACCTAAATCTTGACCTCAAAAACACCTGAGCTAAGAGAAAAACAGAGAATACATGCCTGACATGTCCCTTCAAAAATGCGAATTACCTGGCTGTTGTAATGATCTTAATATTTCAGTTCTTTTAAAGCTAATAACACAGAACAAGAATGCAAATCAACAGTTCTAACTGCACTTGCTGCATGTTTAATTCAGAGGTCCATGGCTACAGCATGTTAACTGTCGGCAGCCGGCTGTGGCTCCTTGTAGTTTCACAATCAGCTTCCCACTTTGCATGCACAAGTTGTGCTGCATTTTCTGAATGGTCCCACAGCCTTCTTGGACCTTTATCAATTCCCAGAAGGTTGCAGGCAGGGAGGTGGCAAGAGAACTTGTGGTGGAATCACCACGACAATATGACCAGAAGTGGGAAAACCAGTCAAAAACAGATACCCGTTCCCCCCAAAAAATATATATTCCAAATATAGCAGAGGAGGACGTGGGAGGAGGAAAAATGGAACCCTCTTGGGTGAACCCTAAATCCACAAATTCAAGAGAGTGTTCATAGCTTCAAGAACAATTATAAAAGGTGAATGTTATCCTGTAGATAACTTTCCAATCCCCTTAACAGATTTCAAATCCGCGAATGCCAAATGGATAAAATACGCTATCAAAATCAACAACTGTCTACCTTCACCTTTATTCACCTTTGCTTCAGGCAGGGTGCTGGGGCAGGCTTTGCCCCCCCCAGATTTTATTTGTGCCCCCCAAGTCTCTAGGAGTGCATCCACTGATCCATGAGGCACTCTGATGGGCACAATTGATATAAGTGAACTCTGATGGGGACAGTTGATGTAAAGAGCACTCTGTTAGGGACAATTAATTTAAGGAGAGCTCTGATGGGGATAATCTATGTAAGGGAGCATGTTGATGGGGACAGTTGAAATAATTGAGCACTCTGATGGGGACAATTGATGTAAGAGGGACTTTGATAGGGACAGTTGATGTAAGGGGACACGCTGATGGGAACAGTTGATATAAGGGGGCACTCTGATGGGGAGAACTGATGCAAGGGGGAATTTCATGTTGACAAATGGGGGGCTCTGATGGGATCATTTGATATAAAAGTAGATAGCTGATGTAAGGAGGTACTCTGATGAGGACCCTGATTTAACCACTTGCCTACCAGGCACTTATACCCCCTTCCTTACCAGGCCAATTTTCAGCTTTCAGCGCTGCCGCACTTTGATTGACAATTGCGCGGTCATGCAACATTGTACCCATATGAAATTTTGATCATTTTTTTCTCACAAATAGAGCTTTCTTTTGGTGGTATTTAATCGCCACTGGACGCTTTACTTTTTGTGCTATAAATAAAAAAGTGCAAAAAATTTGAAAAAAAAAAAAAAGTTTCTTTGTTTCTATTATAAAATTTTTCAAACAGGCATTTTTTCTCCTTCACTGATGTGCGTTGATGAGGCAGCACTGATGGGCACTGATAGGCGGCACTGATGGGCACTGATAGGCAGCACTAAAGGGCACTGATAGGCAGTACTAATGAGGTGACACGGATAGGCGGCACTGATAGACAGCACTAATGAGGCTTCACGGATAGGCGGCACTAATATGCAGCACTGATAGGCGGCACTGATAGGTGACACTGATGATGGGTACTGATAGACGGCACTGACTGGCATCACTGCTGGGCACTGACTGGCGGCACTGACTGGCACAACCCCTGGGCACTGACTGGTGGCACTGACTGGCAGCACTGCTGGGCTGCACTGGTGGGTGGCACTGGTGGGCAGCACTGGTGGGTGGGCACAGGTGGGTGGCACTGGTGGGCACAGGTGGGTGGGCACAGGTGGGTGGCACTGCTGGGCACAGGTAGGTGGCACCTCTGGGCACAGGTGTGTGACACTGCAGAGTGGCACAGGTGGGTGCACTGCTGGGCACAGGTGGGTGCACTGCTGGGCACAGGTGGGTGATCTGCTGGGCACAGGTGGGCGGAGCTAGTGGGCGCATTGCTGGGCACAGGTGGGCGGAACTTGCGGGTGGCACTGCTGGGCACCAATCATCAGGGCACTGATCATCAGTGCCCTGATGATCGGTGCCGATCCCCGCTCTGACAACTGCCGGTTCTCGGCAGTACTTTCCTCACGATCTGACATCTGTGCAGCCGAGAACCGGCACTTGCATTTCCCTCTGATCAGCGTGTCATTGGACACCGCTGATCAGGTGGTAAAAGGCCGCTGTGATTGGCCTTTTACCACATCACGTGATCAGCTGTGTCCGTAGGACACAGCGATCATGGAGATCGCGGGTGCGCGCCCCCTGGGGCGCGCAGGAGAGCGCGTTCTGGGGGGACGTCATATGACGTCCACTCAGAACTGGCCGGCCGCAGTGCAGCCGTCATTCGGCTATCTGCGGTCGGCAGGTAGTTAAGGAGGGAATCTGATAGGCACACTTGATATATGGAATCACAGGTTCTGTTTAATCAAGCTAATCTAATGACAGCCTAATAGATATTAGTGTTCCTTGTTCACTCCTGAAATGCCTCTGTACTACCTGTCAGATATTATTTCCAGGTTCTGACTCTTGGTACAGAAGTAAACAAGGAATACCGGTTCTCTGCATCTATTTCACACTGTTGACATTATGGCCCCTGACTTTTTATACTGCATCGCCAGATCAGATAGACTAGATCCGACCCTGCTTTGCTTCCCAAAGATCTTCAACACATCACATGTAGTGCTCTACCTGCCACTTGTGCAGCCTCTTACCAAATAATCAAATTAAAACCACATACCATTCTATTCCAGATAGGTCAGAGAATCAACATCTCCTGATGTCCTTCCTCTCAGTAAAACAAAATGGATCCTTTAAGGCACAGGGTATGATAATCTAAGTCTCTCTCTCAGTCAATAGTTAAAGGGTATAGAGAAAGTTAAAGGACATGGAGAAAGCAAAAAGAGCTCATAGTGCAGAAAATCTCATAAAGACAGCTTTAGTCACCACCATTATGCTTACATGTGAGAAGGTATACAGACATTCAACACTCAAAATGGCCACCTGGGTGCTTCCAGTTCCGGCATCTGACTTCACTTATTGACACGTATTGTTCATAGACTTTCTCAAAGGTCTATAGCCAAGGGACGTTGGTGGTCTGTTCAGCTACTTGGGAGACTCTGGGGGGCACTTGTGCGCTGATGGACTTTTTAAATCCACATAACAGCTAGACAAATAGTCAGTAGTTGACAGTTTCTATATTTCTTTCAGCACAGGTTTACATTAAAGCTCCAAAACTTCTATGCACGTAGTGATAGGCGAATCTGCCCAGGTTTGATCTGCTAAGGGTTCTTGCTCAAAATTTAGCAAATACTGCTCCAAATTCAATCGACCTGCACTTGAAGGTCAATCTCATTGAAGTCGATGGGGGTGAATCTTGTTTTTAAATTCTGGGTATTTTTAGATTTTTAAAGGTAAACTACTGTACAAAAAGAAATGTAGGAAGCTGGGTACTACCAATACAAAAAAAATGTTAAAGAACACCTTTCAGCAGGGAAAGAGTTTTTTCCTGCAGATTTGAGGGAAACACTGAAAATTCACAAACAGTTTTTAATGCGGAAAGCACTGGTTCGCACTGAATGTGACTTAGAAATCGTGCAACTTCACCTGAAATTGCACAATTTTAAAGTTGCTTCTTAATGCGACTTGAGGTGCAACTTTGCAGACATCTGTGTGACTTCATGCACAGATGTCTATTCAAGCAGCACCTGAAATCAGAAAAAGTAGTGCAGGAACTACTTTTCAAATCGAAAGTTGCACCAATTAGAATGATTCCATTGCTGATCATTGGATGCAAATTGTCATGCGATTTGAATGGTCAAGTCACATCAGTGTGGATGGGGGCTAAAGCTGTAAGTGGTGTTATGGAACAATTAAATTTGCACAAACAGCCTCCTCAGTGATGGTATACACTTGCATTACATATTTGCCTGTGAATTAATTTTGATCTCTTTTCGATTAGTTAAACCTACATGCGGCAGCAGCATCCCAATTTAATTTATTTCAAACTCAAATCCAGGGAAAATAAAAATCCTCCCTTGCAGTAGGGCTGCCCCTGCACTGCAAGGTTTAAATGCTCCATTAGGTCTAGGAGATGGGAAAAGCAGTTTTACTTAAGTAATCCTCCACTCCTATAGCAGGCAGCGCTCCCCTATGCTTCAGCAGTGGACTTTTCCTTGGTGTCCTCACATCCAATGCAGGACTATGGAGTCTGCATTGGTCTTAATGACATCACAGGACATGTGACTGCCAATGCATGTAGGAAAAGAGGCTGTGGGGACTAGTCTTGCATTGCAGAGAACCCTGCCTTTTTCAGTTAGATTTTTTTTTGTTTTTCATTTCAGGTAGCTTTAGCAGGGAAATGTGCTTTTTCATCACACTGTTCAGAAGTTTACCAAGGATGTCCCTGTTCTCAGTAATGTAAAACTGTATTGCTGGCCATTTTTTACTGAACTCTCATCAAGAATTGAGAGACTGCAGATGATACAGAGGTGTAAAACTGGCTGCAGCTGGGTTTTTTAATGATAGATAATTGGCCAAAATGTACTACAGAAAGAGTACATGCACAGACAGGTGTTTTTTTTTAAAGAATTAAGAGACCACTGTAAAATTGGCCAGCAGCAGGACAAATTTAAATAGCAAGGCTAGGTACAAATTTATAGTACTAGAGGCTATAAGCAAAGACTGAGGTTTTACTATAATTAAAATATTGCAGAGTACACATAAGTGTTAAACTGAAACAAATACATAAAAAAAAAGAGGAATACTTGCAGCTAAAAATGTTTTTGCTATAGACATGACAGTAGCTAAAACGAGTGGAAGACCTCAAAATCAACCACAAAATAAATTTATGATAATAAATAGTTCCATGGCTGTGCAGTGTAGTGTATCTTTTTAAAAAAAAAAAATTCCCATGGGTGAATTTGCCCAATAATCTGCTGGGACCATGAATCTCCAACCTGCAGAATTTGCTTCAAATCCATGGTAGCAGTAACCCCAAACCTCATCCTTATGTGGAAGCAAAGATATTCATATGAAACAGACACAGAAATAAATGTGGGTGGGAAAAGGCTGAAAGTTTGGTCCAAAGCTAGGTACAGGCTGAGTTTTTGCCCGTCCGGTCTCCTGTTCAACGGAAGCTGAGCATCATACTGTATATAGAAACCATATTTCTACTGTTTCCAAATATGACAGCTTCCTAAAGAAACCATGGGTGCTTGCACCTATACTGTGTCCCTAGAAACCACTGACATCACGGGGAGTACCCACCACATAAGCAAAGAGGCAGGGATAGCAGTAAAAATAGCTATGGCCATATTTGTTCACTAATGTCACCACCATCCCCACCCCTTTCCTTATATAGCAGATGACAGCTCGGGGAACTGTCATTTGAATACTGGTACTGTTGGGATAAGTCATGTGCTCTGAATCATTGTTTTTTTTTTTTTTTGGTGAGTCAGCAGGTAGTGGGCATTGTGATTGACGATGGATTTACAATAAGGAGTATTATTTGGGGACTTTTTTTAATAAAGGTAATTATCCAAGAAATTAGCATTTTTAATTTGACAGATATGTCTCCTATTGATTTTATTGGGGTTAGCATTCAGCATCCAAGGTTTATTGCTAAATGTGACCTTATTGTGACACTATTGCAAGTTTTTTTTATATGCTGGTAGGTCTTCTAAAAACAGATCTATGGCAATAAACCAAATTAAAATATGCAACCGAGATAATTCTAGAAAGAAAAATCCAAGGACTTGGTTCTGGTATGTTGTCTAAGTTCTTTCACATTGGTCATTATTAAATCATTGAAATCATTGACAATGTGAATGAAGGTCTTTTTTGGATCATTGTATCAAAACTAGCTAACAAAAGCCTAATAGTGGCACTAGCATTCTTTTCTATTACTGGGGTGACCTTTTGCCTCTGCTGTCATGGTTTATTTAAAAAGATGGCTATCTGCAGGGCATGCTTATGTAATAACAACTGATCTTTGCAGTAGAGCACGTTCTGTGAACATCCTTATTAAACAAGTCATATATAGAAGTGCAAAGCAACAACACTTTTTTGTTCGGTTATGTTGGCTTCTTTTTTTGCAAATATGCATCCTTTGTTCCTGAAATGTATAAAAATGGCCACTTTCAATAAATTGCCATTTCTGAAAGGGGGACTTGCTAGAATGCTGTTAGAGTTTTGTTTGGATTGTACATGGCTGGATTGTATTATGCATTGGATTTGGTATTTCTGTCCAGTTAGCTAAAAATTACAAAAAAGTTTTTAGTTGCAGATTTACAGAGGTTGCAATTGTTGCAACCATGATTTAGAATATATCTAAATCCAAGGACATTTTACCTTAATTTGCCTATTCTCTTCTGACCTCTGAAATCAAGAAGACATTTTTTTTTCTCCACACAACTGCTGCTTACTGGATATTTTCTCTTTTTTGGACCATTCTCTGTAAACATTAGAGATGGTTGTACGTGAAAATCCCAGTAGATCAGCAGTTTGTGAAATACTCAGACCAGCCCATCTGGCACCAACACCCATGCCATGTTCAAAGTCACTAAAATCCCCTTTCTTCCCCATTCTGATGCTCGGTTTGAACTTCAGCAAGTCATCTTCACAATTTCTAGATGCTTAATGTATTGCTGCCATGCGATTGGCTGATTAGCAATTTGTGTTTCCAAGCAATTGAAAACGTATACCTAATAAAGTGGCCGGTGAGTGTATTTTCCTGGTTATTGCAGCAAAATAGCAAACCAATGATAATCGTTTTCTGCAATATAGCTGTAGTGTTGCCTAGGATTCCTGTCCTCTGTCTAATCAAATTGCAAAAAACTCCAGTCATGGAATGTCCTCATTATCAACACTTTTTTTAACAAGCTAATAGAAAATTCTCGTTCCGCAGGGAACATGAAACCAATGTTACACTAAGCCTAGC